CTATGCGGGGCACCACTGTAGAGCGGAAGAAGAGGATGGAGATAGAGGCAGGGACAGCTGATATCAAATGGGGGAAAGAACAGTTGGGAGAGGGTCTGGATGGAGGATCCCTGGACCAGAGCATGAGAGAGGCTGAGAGTGCCTAAGGAGGAGGCGGACTTAGGAAAAGAAGAGAGATCCCCCCCGAGACCGGCTGAGAGTGCCTAAGGAGGAGGCAGACTTAGGAAAAGAAGAGAGATCCCCCCCCCGAGACCATCTTATCGGGGAGAGGCAGAAGCCAAGAGTGGAGGAGAAAGTTGAGAGAAGAAAAGGAAAGAGTGGAGAGAGAAAGGTGGGAGAGGCTGGAATTAAGGGTGAACAAAATGAAGAGGAAGGGATACAGGGAGAACCCTGGAAGACCCTCACAGCTGTCAGATGTCCCATGTGGGTGGATCGCCGGGACAACGACAATGTCCCATGTGGGTGGATCGCCGGGACAACACAACGTGCCCCTGCTGGAAGGTGAAGCGGGATAGACAGTGAACCCAAACTTATTAATGGATTGGCCAGGTCCATGGAACTCTGGTGAAAGGAACCCATTCCTCGACAACAAATGGAAGCCCCTTGCTGACCTGTTGTCAGAAGGAGAGGAACTTTGGAATCATTTTGTTGATACTGGTTATTTGTTGAATACCCCAATAAACACCTGTTTCTAAACAACAAAAAATCTTCTGATTACTTCGCACAAAAGAAGGAGCAAAAAAATCAAACCCTCACATAACAGTGGTATGTAAAGATCAGACAAGAAATGCACATATTGGACAACACAGCACAGAGTTATACATAGAGCTACACAATCTTGTCTTCATACCTCGGTGACTCAAGAGTACATAAGCTGAAATGTTCATGAAAGGCCATTTAGCACACAAAGGAACTAGTTCAGTAACAAATATTGGAAAGCCACATTGCTAATGATTGTTTTCTCAAAACCTTTAGATTTTACAGGTACAGTGGGGTCTTGACTTAAGAA